GAGAGAGAAGGAGTGAATGAAGAACATGAGGTTTTACAGATGGAGAAAACAGCCAGAACACAACACTCACAAGACACTCCAATGTACTGCAATGACATCTTTAAAGCCTCAGCTGATGAAGGGCAATGTGATGTTTTATGAGGAGGACCTGATTGAGAGCGGCATAGACATCACTGACACCTCAGTGTATTCTGGGATTCGCACTGAGATCTTTAAGGAGGAAAATGTGCTTCATCAGAGGAAAGTCTACAGCTTCATTCATCTGAGCTTTCAGGAGTTTCTAGCTGCTTTCTATGTAATTTACTGCTATTTAATGAAGAGCATGGAGCCACTGCAGTTTTTTCTGCATGAATTCAGATCTTACAGATTTAAAGTCTCTTTGTATAATCTACTAAGATCAGCAGTAAATAAAGCACTCCAGAGTAAGAATGGACATCTGGATCTGTTCCTGCGGTTCCTGCTGGGCGTCTCACTGGAGTCCAATCAGAGACTGTTACAGGATCTACTGACACACACAGAGAACAGATCAGAGAGCATCAGAGAAACCACACAGGACATTAAAGAGATGATCAAAGATGCACATGATAGTTATCGTCTCTCAGCTGGTCAATCCATCAATCTGTTCCTCTGTCTGCTGGAAGTGAAAGATCAGACTCTGTCCAGAGAGGTTCAGGAGTTTGTGAAATCCGACAAACACTCAGAGAAGAAACTCTCTCCTGCTCACTGCTCAACAATCGCCTACATGCTTCAGATGTCAGAGGAGCCGCTGGATGAGCTGGAACCCATGAAATACAACACATCAAATGAGGGGAGAAGAAGACTAATACCAGCTGTGATCAACTGCAGAAAAGCTCTGTGAGTGTTTAATCTTTAACTAAAGTATCATATTTAATAATGAATCTGGCAACTTTAAAATAAATGCTCTTAAATTAGAGATTTTCTCCTAAATAACAGTCCAGAATCTTAAAGGAGTCACAACACGCCTTTTTAACACAGTAGATAGTCGAGTAAAATGCCTGTTATCACCTCGGTAAACACAACCCAGTGACATATGAAACTCGTTTATAAAATCACCAGCAGCTGCAGCAAAAGGACGGTCTACACCAGGGGTGCCCAAACTCGGTCCTGGAGGGCCGGTGTCCTGCAGAGTTTAGCTCCACCCCTAATCAAACACACCTGAACCAGCTAATCAAGGTCTTACTAGGCATACTAGAAACTTCCAGGCAGGTGTGTTGAGGCAAGTTGGAGCAAAACTCTACAGGACATCGGCCCTCCAGGACCGAGTTTGGACACCCCTGGTCTACACCATTGATCAGTAAAGCTGGAACTGAGACATTTTCACTTATGAATGAAGATAAAATAATGAAATAAATTACTGGTATTATTAATGGCAATAATAATATAGCATTATCACATTTAATCTTCACTAATTATTCATCTAAATGTGATGCAATCTAGGAAAGTCCGTCGGAATTCACGCTGGGACGTTAAATTAGAAAATTAGGTTGAATGTCAATTTTTATTTTGGTCAAAATTGGGTTTTCATTACATTATTATTCTTTAACATCTTGTCTATCATCTCTGAAAATATCTTGGCAAAATTAACTTGTTTAGTGCAGAAAAAAGCGATTTATTGAGGCAAGCAGAAACGACTGTGTCTTTCTCTAGTTTGCTAACACGCGCTGCAGAGGTGCTTTCCCTTAACACTACAGAAAGTTCACCTATCAAAATAAACCATGTAACGTATATAATAATATTTTACAGATTTTTAAAAAGTGTATACAGTAAAATTATATTTAATTAAGATGAGATTTAGCACTATGAATTCTTAAATCATTTGCAACAAAATTATAGTTTTGTTGCAAACAGATGAAGACATTTTAGTGCTATATCTCAGCTTACCCCTTAACATGCACGCTTTCGGAGTTTCAGTGTTGGCAGCCCCTTTATAACATATTGTGGGCGTTGTATTTTGATTAATAAAATAAAAATTATAAAAATTAAAATACAAATTTTATAAAATTCCGATTCTAAATAAATAAAACAGTTATTTTTATTTCGTTAAAAAAAGGCCAAAAGAGACCTCCGAACTATAGCACCGGAAAGAAAAAAAAAATACCAAAATCACTTTCACTGTTCACTGACTTTTTCATTAACTGTTCATTCCTAGTGGAATGACCTGCCAAAATCAATTCGAGCAACTGAGTCCTTAGCCATCTTCAAGAAACAGCTAAAAACACATAAATTTGACTAATATTCATTATTTATTCACAATCTCCTTATCACAGGCAGGCACAGCACTCATTTCAGCATGTGTTCGTGTTTGTGTGTGCTGTCTGCGTCACTCATAGCACGTGCCTATATCGTGCGCTATATCAAACATTTTTTCTATCGTTATTGAAGATAAATATCGATACCGTTTTATCGCCCAGGCCTAACTTGCACTCTCTATTTGTTCTCTAACTGCTAGTTTTTCTTAAAAAAAAAAAAACAACTAACACTAGCTTTCTTTTTTCTATTCTGTCTACTTGTTTTCTTTATTAAAAAAAACTAAAACTAAAACAAAAAACAACAACCTTGCTACGTGTACTGAGTTAGGCTAACCAAGACTTTTCATAGCACTTGATAATCGTTGCCCTTTTGTTGGTTTTGATTGCTTCTATTGTCCTCATTTGTTAGTTGCTTTGGATAAAAGCGTCTGCTAAATGACTAAATGTAAATGTAAATGTTTAGATCATGTCATCGTCCTTTCCCTGCAGACAGAAAACTGACAACCCTCTGTAAATGTCTTTATTGTTTTGATATTATTATTGTTATTTTTTTCGCAACTGAGTCCTTAGCCATCTTCAAGAAACAGCTAAAAACACATCTCTTCCATCTTTATTTGACCCTCTAACTCTAAAACACTCTATTCTAATTTTATTTTATCTATTTTTCTTCTTTCTTATTTAAAAAAAACACACACACTTGACCCTCAATCACTTGCACTAGGGTTGGGCGATATAGCTAAAAAAATTATCAATGATATAATGTTTCATATGTTAGTTGCTTTGGATAAAAGCGTCTGCTAAATGACTAAATGTAAATGTAAATGTTTAGATCATGTCATCGTCCTTTCCCTGCAGACAGAAAACTGACAACCCTCTGTAAATGTCTTTATTGTTTTGATATTATTATTGTTATTTTTTTCATCTCTTCTAGACTTTCTGGCTGTGATCTCTCATATCAGCATTGTGAAATTGTGTCTGAAACAGCTAAAAACACATCTCTTCCATCTTTATTTGACCCTCTAACTCTAAAACACTCTATTCTAATTTTATTTTATCTATTTTTCTTCTTTCTTATTTAAAAAAAACACACACACTTGACCCTCAATCACTTGCACTAGGGTTGGGCGATATAGCTAAAAAAATTATCAATGATATAATGTTTCATATCGTTCGGTATCGATAATTTTTTATTACCTTTTTTAAAACAAAGAGCAATATAAAAAAATTATAATTTAACCACCGTATTTTTAAATTAACCCAATTTATTGAGACAAACAAATATTTTGTTGTTGTTGTCTCTCATATCAGCATTGTGAAATTGTGTCTTCAGCTCTACAATCCTCAAACTGTGTCCTGAGAGAGCTGGATCTGAGTAACAATGACCTGCAGAATTTTGGAGTAAAGTTTATTTCCGATGGACTGAAGAGTCCAAACTGTCAGCTGCAGATACTGAGGTATTTAAGAACATATAAGAGCTGGTCACAATGTTGATGTGTTTATGATCTGACTGTGTGTCTGTAGATGATCTGACTGTGTGTGTACTGGTTTATATATCCTGGTGGGGACTTAAACCTGACTACACACAGATGAGCAAAATAATGCAGCGCATTTAAATTGTCAACACAAGGAAATAACTGTCTATAAAAAAATGTGCATTACGTCTAAATTAACTCATAAAAATCAAATATAATTTTGTAAATTGCATAAACAATTATGAACAAAACAGCATCATGTATTTATGCATTGCTTAATCCAAAGAGCCGAAGCACCATTCACACAGATTTCACATTTAAAAACATATGAGACACAGTGAAAATGAATAAACCTCCACAAATGTGTGACGTGTTTTCTAAAAGTTCAAACTGTTTTAACTTTGCATGGCTTTCTATACATCTCTTGTGTGACACGCGAGTGCAGCAGTCATATTTGCCCGTCTAAAAAATGCGCTGAATATGCGTTCTGTGTGAATGGCTTGGTTTCGGTTTTAACCTAATCAAGATCTTCGCATTGAGCTTCTATATTTCTCTAATATTTTGAATGAATAA